ACATTCAAGCAGAATATAACAAAGATTATGACACAAGTATGGAATTTGAGCATTGTAATATCATGTATTTTCACATTAGATTAGTCTACTTGACACAGCACAGTGATACGTAATACTATATCACTATGTGCTATATCAAATAGACTAATCTAATATGGAAGATACGACGCTTACTGAGCATTTTAGGCTCCTGATGCAGGCTTAGTTCAGTCAGTTAAGCAGTGATTGCTGTGATACTCAACACAGCCAAACAATTTAGAACCGTTGTAACCCCTAACTGTTCCCGTAGCAACGCCGCCTTTTTAAAGTCAAGGAATAGTCAACATATCATTTTATTATTTTTATTATTATTATTAGTCCCTTGGGTTCCTAGTGGAACATAGGGCTTCAGTAGCACGCCTCCAGTGACCTCTGTTCTCTGAGATCTTTTGAACCTGGTTCCACGACAGCCCAGAAGCTCTCATTTCCTCCTCGCATGACCTCCTCCATGTCACCCTCGGACGTCCAACTCGTCGCTTCCCATAGGGATTCCACTCGAGGGCCTGACGCGTGATGTCCTCAGTCGGCCTTCTCAGTGCATGCCCAATCCATCTCCACTTCTTCCTGCATATTTGTTGCGTGATAGGTTCTTGGTTGCTTCGTTCCCAGAGTTCCTTGTTGCTTATTTTTTCTGGCCATCTGATCTTCAGCAACGAGCGTAAGCAGTTGTTGATGAATGTCTGTAGTTTATTGGAAATACCTTTCGTGGCGCGCCAAGTCTCTGAGCCATACAAGAGCACTGACTTGACGTTGGTGTTGAAAATCCGTATCTTGTTCCGCATGCTGAGTGCAGAAGATCTCCACACTGGTTTCAGGCTAATGAACGCCTGTCTTGCTTTTCCGATTCTGACTTTGACGTCCTCGTCCGTCCCGCCTGTAGTTGAAACAGTGCTTCCTAGATAAGTGAAGGAGGTTACTTCCTTCAAGTTTCTCCCGTTGACGGTGATTGGAGTTTGTTGTTGTTTTTGGTGGTGGTGCGGTATCTTCATCACTTCTGTCTTCTCTATATTCACCTGAAGTCCCGTCTTAGCTGCCTCTTCTGTCAACTTGTTAGTTTTTGCCTGCAGATCTTCAAGTTTATGTGACATTAGGCACAAGTCATCGGCGAAATCCAAGTCTTCTAGGTTCTTTTCCGTCGTCCAGTGTATCCCCCTCTTCTCGCTGCCTACTGTTTGCTGCATGATCCAGTCCACCACAATAAGGAATATCATGGGGGATAGTAGGCAACCTTGTTTCACTCCTGTCTTCACTTCAAAGGCATCACTGAGCTTCCCATTGTGGATTACTTGGCATGTGGCATCTTCATATAGTTGTTGAATGAGGCGGATAAAGGTTTGCGGTACTCCGTAGTATTGAAGCAGTTTCCAAATTACTTCTCGGTCGACGCTGTCAAAGGCCTTCTCAAAGTCGATGAAGTTGAGGCAGAGAGCTGATTGCCATTCTATGCTCTGTTCTATGATGATGCGTAGCGTTGCAATTAGGTCTGCACATGATTTGTACTTCCTGAAGCCTGCCTGTTCCGGTCGCAGTTTTGAATCCAGTGCATCTTTAAGCCTCTCCAGGATGATGCGGCTTAATATTTTGCTTGGGGTGGACAGGAGAGTGATTCCGCGCCAGTTCTTGCAAGCACTGAGGTCTCCCTTCTTCGGCAGTTTGACAAGGTAACCCTTCTTCCAATCGTCAGGTACCTTCTCTTCCTTCCACACCTTCTGCAATAGTGGTGTGAGCATGTCCGCTGTTGTCTCTGCATCTGTTCTCAGTGCTTCTGGCGGTATTCCATCTGGTCCTGCTGCTTTCCCACCTTTCAGTAGCTTTATGGCGTTCAGGACTTCCATTTTCGTTGGGGGATTTATGTTCACTTGTAATTCAGCGGCTGCAGGTGGTATTTCTGGACGAAGTGCAGGTGGTGGTCGATTCAAGAGCTTCTTGAAGTGGTCGGCCCATCGTTTCCTCTGTTTCTCTTCTTTTGTAATTAAATTTCCTTCTTCATCTTTTATTGGTTTCATCTGTGTTGGTCTCGCCCCTGATAGCAACCTGGTTATTTGATACAATGTCGTCAGGTCTCTCCTACCAGCAGCCTGTTCTGCTTCACTTGCCAGTGTGTCGTAGAAGTGTCTTTTGTCTTTGCGTGCACTCTTCTTCACTTCTTTGTCCAGTGTTTTATACATTGTGCTCAGTTCCTCTTGTCGTTGAGCATCCTTGCACTGGTTTATCTTCTGCTTCACCATCCTCCTCTCCTCTATCAGCTTCCAGGTATCCGTCGAGATCCATTCCTTGTCTTCTTTCTTCTTCCTTCCTAATACGGCTGTGCAGGTTTCTTTCCACACAGCTTTCAAAGACTTCCAGTGTTCTTCCACACAGGTTTCTTCAGGGATGTCCCTCGACGTCTCCCATTTTGTCTTGATGGCTGCTTTGAAGATCTCCTTTGTAGTTTCATCCTTCAGTTTCCGAGTGTTGTACTTGAATTGAGGTCTATCACCAGCTTCCTTGAAGGCTTTTAACTTGATTTGGAAGGTTCCTTGCACTAGATAGTGGTATGAACCTACATCTGCTCCTCTTCTTGACCTTGTGTTAAGTAGACTGCGTCTCCATTTTCTTGAGATTGAGATAAAGTCGATTTGATTTTTAGTGTGTCCATCTGGTGAAGTCCATGTCGCTTTGTGGATATCCTTGTGCCTGAACACACTGCCTCCAATCACCAAATCGTTGAATGCACAGAATTCTGCAAACAATTCTCCATTCTCATTCATTTCACCTAGCGCCTCTCGACCCATGGTTAGTTCTCTTCCCGTATTGTCCCCTCCCAGTTTGGCATTCATGTCGCCCATTAGAATTTTGATATCGCCAACTGACGTCTTGTCCAGTGTTGATTGAAGTTGTCTGTAGAAATCCTCCTTTTTCTCTTGCTCTGCATTATTTGTAGGTGCATAACATTGTATGATTGTGACCTTTCTTCCTTTTGAGTTGAATCTTGCTGTCATGATCCTGGAGGAGATTGGTTCCCACTGCATGAGAGCCTTCGATGCTCTTGAGGACATCATGATAGCCACTCCCTCAGTGTGCTCGTGGTTGGCGTCTGGGTGACCGGAGTAGATTATTGATTCTCCAGTTGACAGTTTGGAGAGTCCACTCCCATTCCATCTGCTTTCGCAAATCCCAAGCACTTCGATGTTATACCTTCTCATCTCCTTTGCAATCTGGGCTGCCTTACTGGGTTCAAACATCGTGCGGACATTCCATGTCCCCACGTTTACTTTCGCTTTCATCGAGAGAAGACACATCGGCCAATTGGCTTCCCGAAGGCTTTCACCAACTGGCGTCATTTCGCCTCTCCGATTCCAGCGGGGAATAAGTTTGTTTTCATTTTTTATATTTTGTTTGTGCTTTGAAGTTTCTTTAGCGGTTAGATTTGTTTTACGGGGTAGGGTTGCTAGCCCTATGCCCAACCTTCCCTCTTTACCCGGGCTTAGGACCGGCTAGTAACTAGTAAACTAGTTAACCAGGCGAGGTTAGTCAACATATCATAGAAATTCTAAATTCACTGCTACCAAACAAAAGATGTGTGCCACTTTTAGAATCATCACAACTTTCTATCCACCTGCCGTAAGTAATGATTGATATACCGGCTTCTGGTAGTCACCTAAGAACTTAGCAGCAGAGTATTGGGTTTCACTGGTTCTATCAGGCTACAACTTTATACTGGCGACTAGTAGCATCCAGTATTCCAAATCAAAGACCGACTATCTCCGTTATCGTACCGAGAATTTGAGATGCTTTTACTATAAACAAAAATCTGGTTAATAAATAGATTAAATGCGCCTCTTGATTTCGATACATTCCGTTCGCTACATGAATCGAACACGATAAAGACAAATATGTCTAGACAATAACAACTAATTCATCTTATTTTACAGTTTCTTATTCTCTTTGTACAGTCCCAACCTTAAGTCGAATTACTATTAGATGTGTTGAAAAACATTGAGATCCAAAATTCGGCAATGACAGTATGGTAGTAAGCTGAAAAAGTGTCTAAAGTCAATAACTACAAATTGCAACAAACATCATATCGGTTCAAGAAGAGAATTCCAACCAATAATGTGGAAATATGACTAATCTCTACGGAAATTTTAAAAATAACTGAGTGAAAATCAGCGGACTAAAGAAAAGAGATGACAATTATGGAAGACCATTACAAGAGTACAATGAATAACTAGGGTTTCTGTGTACAAAGAACAGGTGGAAAGTATCACTAAAAATACTTCAGCAAAGCACATAAGTCTTGACAAGTTTTTTTGTTGTTGATCACGTTGAAAGATTGAGATATCTATTTGTTGTCACGTTTTCATCAAGTGCTTGGCTACTGGACATGCTACAATTTCGCTTCATGATGAACACAGATTTCCTGAAACATACTTAGAAAATTGCATGGATATCCTTATCTCTCCTATTTACTTGCTTTTAAAAGTGCATATGGATAGGTAGAAACAGTTATAAGTGAAATGAGGACGATATTTACCTAGTTCGGATGGAGTGAGCGTGTGGGGGTGTAAATCGATATCACAAAAGTTGGAGGAAGGTTATTCTTCTAGTGCAACTTGAGTGCCAGACTAGTTTATTCTCAACAGTCAAATGAAGTTTTTCAGTGTATTCTCTTCTATATCTATCCTACATATCCCAATGTGTTTGTTTTTCAAGTACCAAGATAATGAAAGCGAAAAAATCTATTTTGCAGATAAGCATATTTATGTGCTGAAAATATGACACCTGAACAGAAGTATTTCTTTTTTTCACCAATCTGCTGATAACCAGTATTGTTGCTTTTATTGTTTATTCGATTCTGACCAAAACATACACAATTATTTTCCATACCCAAATTGCCAATAAAAGCACAAAATAGACAAACGCTAGGTGCAGTAAAAATTGTAGGGGCGGCTTGTTAAAACTGACTTTCAATGACTTACCTCATTACGAAGAGTTTGAAGAAACACAGTTGAAACACTAACAGAAGCCTGGTTTTGTGTCCTTTGTTTTATCACTTCACATGGCACTCTTATGATACAAGCGACCTGAGAACTGAATATTACTGACAGCAAATCTTACAATTTCGGCAATACAAGCAGATAGAATGGAACAACCCATGGGGTGCATACCGAAATCCCTACAGACATCTTTAACTGTCTCATAAGTTACGAAAAAAGTTGCAGCTGTAATAAGCTAGTTGTTAATTGTTACATATCCAACTTACCTCCAGGAGCAGAACCTATAGCAACTGCTGGTAAACCAGCAAAAAGACGAAGTGATCCCGGCGTTCGTTGTATATTATTACGATAACTTTGCAACCGCGTTTTGATTGTGTCGACCGGGAAAAGTGCGAGATCGACACAAAGTCCAGCAGTTGAGCCTGACTAAATGAGATGAGATAGAAGAAGTAAACTCACCAGTAAAGAGACAAAGTATGGATGACTGTTGTTAGTATTCATAATAAGTCAAGGATGACAGCTATCCAGTTTGTCTATGATACCATTATCTTGCAAAAGTCAAAAGTAAACAGAAATGATTTTTGTGTTAAAATTTGAACGATGAACTGGAATTGAGCTGTTTTCACAGAAACGAATAATGATCCTATATGCGATAAACTGAGTTAACGAAAACGAAACCAAACGTTCATGTCTACATACAGCGAGACGCCCATATCCATGCAACAGAAAACTCGCAGTACACTGACCCTTTTGACTAAACATTCCTCTGATGTGATTTTTATTCGTACTGAATATGATTAAATTTTTCGGCATCGTAAAAACAGCTATAATCCTCATTTAGAAAAGGTTACCTGACTATTCTGATCACAAATTTCTCGGCGTTCAGACAAAGAAGCGAGAGTAGAACTGTACACACAAACTAACGTACCAATGAGATCCTAAAAACCTGTTTATCACGTATTCTTATGATTAGAAACTACGTCTTATTGCAGACAGTATTCCGAAGGTGAGTTGTGCTTTTCATGTCTCAGAGACTGTTTACCCTAAAACCTCTATTCAGAATAGAGACCCGATGGATATCCTCTGTTTACACCAGTCTGCTTTCATATGCGTGGGTCATCAAGGATTCTGCAGACACTTTGTGTTCTGACTCAAGCTGTAGGGAAAACTGTGACCATTAGCAAGACCCACCACTCGCTCAGCTATTGCGATGCACCAACTTCAATCTTGCTATCCAACGGTCTACTACCAAGATGTTTGCCAACTCAAACTGTCGCCAATGTTATGAAAGCGTTTTGCTTTCTGAAGGGAAAATATGAACACCGAGACAACAGATGCCTTTCTTTCTGAAGGGATTTGAAAGTTCGAATTCTGAAAGGTAGTAAATGGAATTTGCAACCATCTGAATACGTATGCTTTGTGATTGCATTCACAATCGGACACCGTTTTAAAAATACATGTTTACACCAGCTTTTCACTGTTTCCTGCATAATAAGCAGCTTTTCCTTCACACGGAATGTAATAAATTACTATGTGTAACTGGCATTTGAGAGTGAATTTTATATATATATATATATATATATATATATATATATATATATATATATATATATATAAAGAACGAACAGCACCTTGGAACACACCATCTGCACTATCTAGCGAGGTAAAACGCTCTACTTTTTGTGTGCTGCCTTCCCTCGGTAGAATAAGAATGAAGCCAGTTGGTAACCCAGGATTTCTCATACTTATTGATAATTGTTGGTGGGTAACTGTTGAGACGTTAGATATTCCCAATGTGGCTAATTTGTTGTCTGAGATTTTATCCTACCATTGAGCTTTCTCGCCTTATAACTTAGACATCTAAACCAAGTCTACTTTAACAGACAGAATGGAACGATTTGAAGTCTAAGGAGTTATTCAAATGGGGATGTTTCCTATGGACACTAGTCACGAAATTTCCATCTTACTTTCATTTGGTTCTGCAATCCAACATTGTTAGCTCACCTTCAACACTTTCCAAATTACAGGTAAACTGGACTGCGTTTATTCTTGAATTTATGTTAAGAAGTTATTAATGTTCTCTGATTTCAGTACTACAACTGTGTCATCTACTTATCTAAACCATGTCTTTGGAGTAACAAATCTTTCAAGGGCTATCCGTCCCAAACTATCCATGAATATGCCTGTGACAATAAGGGATATTGTTGATCTCATGGTAACCTCTTCAGTTCATGTATTTTGCTCTGAAGTATAAAAAATGTAGACCTCAGGCATAAGCGTGCAAACGATTTTTCAACAGTTATTGAAATCCACACATAAAAGTGCCAAGTTCATGTAGGCCACGAATCGAAAATGAATGCAGAAAGAAGTGCATACACTGCATGTATTTCATAGTGTAGGTTTTCTTGGCAATCGGCTTACTAGCTTTCATTTACCTAAACAAAAGTTAGTAAACCAATAGCCAAGAAAGCCTACGCTTTTATATCACAAAAACTCACTGATGAAGTCAGTTTTCGAATGAAATGCATTCAGTTTAAGTTAACGAAAAAAGTTATTGATACCTTCAAGACAAGTTCTGACTGGCACCTATCAACTTACAAACCGATAACTTTGACTAGTACTGTAGTAAAAATCCTAGAAAGGGTAATCAAGAAAGCCATCACAGTCCATCTAGAGAGCAACACTTTATTGTCCCGTTCGCAACACGGTTCTCGTGGAAATTTATCTTGCTTGATGAACCTCCTTACAGTCAGAGAAAGTTGGGTTAGGTCTAAAGATGACAGACTTCAGTAAGGCGTTCGACAAGGTACCTCATTCCAGGTTGCTCATGAAAGTGGAAAGTTTTGAATCACTGGTAGTCTGCTCGCATGGATAACGGAGTCCCTTGTTGGTAGGAGACAAAGAGTAAGGGCCAATTCTCAACTCTCCTCTTGAAAGTTAGTAGGCAGTGGAGTGCCGCAAGGGACAGTCATAGGCCCATGCTGTTTCTCTTGTACGTAAATGAGCTGCCAAATATCATGAAATCCCCTATGGTTCTCTACGCTGATGTAAAAATCTGACGAAATTAGGAACAATGAGGATATACGTGCACTTCAGGCGGACCTAAACAGCTGTTTTACCTGGTCAAAGAAGTGGCTGCTGACTATCAATGCAGGTAAATGTATGAGCATGCACTCGGGGAACACATAGCAACTCCTACGATATTAGTGCTACTCCTTTACCGTCAGTAATGAACCACTATGACCTAGGATTCACAGTGAGTTGTGACTTGTAAACCACGATACACTGTCGGTCGGTAGCAGCTCAGAATTTTAGGATACTTTGGGCATTACGCAGAACATTTACGACAATATGCAGTGACATGTTCACCATCTTATACAGATCTTTAGTGAGGTCTAAATTAGAAAACTGTACTCAGGCGGCAAACCCTTGTCTGAAAAGTGAAGCAGATACTCTAGAGAGAGTTCAGAGGGGAGCAACTTAAATGATCCCTGCGATGGTCGACCTCACCTATGAAGATCGGCTTAAGGAGGACCTTTTCACTTTATCCTATCGCAGATAGAGGGGGGCATAATCATGCTATGCAGGATTCTAAGAAACGGCTTCGGACCAGATCGATTTTCTCTTTTCCTTCCCACTAGGTTGGAACACCTCAGAGGACATAGTGAGGGTACAAAAGCAAAGGACGAACGTAGTCTCCGCAGAGTACTGGTTCTCGCATCGAGTTGTCAACGCCTAGAACCGACTCCTAGAAGCGGTGTCCGCATCATCAATTGATAGATTAAAAAGGGGATTGTACAAGCACAGAAATCCACTGGAAAAGGATTAACATGGGATCACAGCCATCTATCCTCAAACAACAAGGCTGATTATGAGTCAACATGAAATGAGCCAAACCACTGCAGAACATGGGTACAACCCTCGTTTCAGAGTGGTGCGTGGCAACTGATAAAGTGGTTTCATAGCCCTTCCTTTTGGAAAGTGAGGGGCTTAAGGTCTTTAGTAGATTTTCACGTAGTATATTTGACCACCCCGCAGATGTAGACAGGTTATAACCTAGGTTTTATAAAACCCAAAGGACGGATAGGCTTTCTTTGTTTCGCTTCCAAACTTTGCAAAACGAAAAAAGCAACCGAATCATCAAACGGGGTTATATCCATATGGAACAAGCTCCTATATAAATGATTTAAAAATACGTATCTGTATATTTAACAAACTAGATGTCATCCTAAAGGACTTGAAGTAGTTCAGTAAGACTTAGAGTGACGTTATAAAGTGACGCTCTAAAAATGAGAAACTGGCTTTAAACGGGTCACAGGAAAAACTTACCACAGATTCCAACCGAAATCAAACACGCGTCGACCTTGAGGCAACTTCCAATATCCAATCCAATATTCCAATATTGATAGTGCGAGCGTAGAAAACTAGTAGTTTTTGATCTCTCGCGTCTAGTTCTTAGGGCTTGGTTCCAGTTGTTCGGTTTACTCCTGCAGTGGACGAGGAAATACCCTCTGCTTTCTTGCTTTTAGCTTCGGTGAGGTGGATGTTTTGTGGGTTAGTAGGTTGAAATTTGTAGAGTGATTAGGGAGCTACGGGTTGCTGGGAAGTTTAGAGAACAACCGTGACTCCTGTCTGTGTAGGTACCTGAAAGAGAATAGTAAGGTAGTGGTAAAGGAATGAAGAGAGAAATAAGGAAGAGAAAAAAATAATAATGTGGGGAAGAGAAAAGGGAAGGAGAAGAAAAGGAGGGGTGAAAAGAGAAATGAGAACGAAAGAAAAGTATTTGGGAATTGCCCGAATGGTCGCGTGGGTTTGGTTCCTACAGAAGAATTAGTAGGTAATGTGGGTGTATTAAGGAGAGAGATAGTGAGTGGTAGTTAGGAGGGAGTTGGGGGTACTGAGGTTGGTGACTACCTGAGTACGTCCGTGGTAGTCCATGCGAGGTGACATAACTGTCTAATCGCCTCTTGAAAGAGTCGATTGAAGGAGCTATAACGATGTGTCGCGGTAAGGCATTCCATAAAGCACATACTCTTAGGGAGAAAAATTTGGACCTGAGTGTGGTGTTGGCTCTCTGGTGTGCTATCTTAATGGGGTTTCCTCGTGAAGATCGTTCAGTTGCAGGCAAAATTGATTTGTTTGCATGGTCTGCCTGATGGGCGATCTTGTATGCCATAATGAGGTCACCCCTTTTCCTGCGATAACCCAAGGTAAATAGGTTGAGGTGTTTAAGTCTTTCAGGATACGTCTTTCCCCTTAGCCCCACAACACATTTTGTTGCAGTTCTTTGTATTCTTTCAAGGAGATTAGAGTCTCTCTTGAGTGTTGGAGGAGCCACCGTATTGAAGACCTCTAGGTGCGGCCGCACGTAGGATTTGAAAATGGTGAGGAAGAGTTCGGGAGTGAGGGCGCCAAGCTGTCTACGCAGAAAGTGTAGAATGGCGTTCGCTCTGGTTGTCATACCTTTGTAGTTGGAGCTGGTGTCCAAGGTGTCGGAGAAGTTGAGCCCCAAATCTTTCTCCATGGACACTCTGGTGATAGCACGGTTGCTCAACATGTACTGGAAGTCGGTCGTACTTGCCTCATTTTTACTGATGTGCATTACTTTGCACTTTTCCAGGTTGAAGCTCAGGCCATTTTCCGACGACCAGAGCTCGAGTTGCTGCAAGTCCTTTTGTAGTGCTGCACAGTCGGCTTCTTCGTTTACCACCCTCCAAATTTTTATGTCGTCAGCGAAGAGGAGGATGGGTGAGGATATTTTGTCTGGCAGATCGTTGACAAACAGGAGGAACAGAAGCGGTCCTAGGATTGCTCCTTGGGATACTCCTGACGTCGACGGTCTCCACTCCGACCTTATTCTGTTCACTTTAGTGCAGAACTGCCTCCCTTCCAGGTACTCCTTGAACCAAGAGAGTAGGGGTCCACTTATACCAGCTGACATGATCTTGTGAAGCAGTACTGTGGGTGGGACACTGTCAAATGCTTTGGCTAGGTCGAGAAATACAGCATGTACAGGTTTTCTATTATCCCAGCTTTGTGTCCAGTCGTCCCAGGCGGTTAGTAAGTTGGTGGCACATGAGCGACCACTACGAAAGCCGTGCTGAGCAGTGTGGACAGTGTTTTCTCTATTGAGGAATTCCCAGATGGTGTCAGCTACCAGGCTTTCCAACACTTTCGACACAATAGGGAGTAGGGCAATCGGCCTGTAGCTGCCAGGGCTTTTCCTGTCTCCTCCCTTGAAGATGGGTGACAAGATGGCACTCTTCCATTCTTTAGGGAGTTTGCACGAGTCTATTGAGTGCTCAAAGAGGTTGCGAAGTGGTTTGGTAAGCACCTCGGCGCAGTTTTTCAGAACCACTGGTTTCAGGTTATCGCAGCCAGGGGACTTGCCCGGACGTAGCCTAGATAGCTTCTCGAACACCTTTTTCTCTGTAATAGAGACGTGACAGAGGTATTCGTTATTTGCGACCTGGTCGGTGTCGTGGCGAGTCGGTGTGGATCTTGTGTCAGTGCTGAGTTGGGCTTGGAAGTGTGAGCTCAAAAGCTCGGCAATCTCTAGACTGCTTAGCACACTCCCGTCATGGCCTGTGACAAGATTCACTCCCTTACTGGTCGACTTTCTTCTTGACATGAAGCGGTACAGGTTTTTGGGGTTGCTTTGTAACCTCGCTGCCAAGTTTGTTTGGTAGGAAAATCTGTCGTTACGCACTCTAATGTTACAGAGATTGCGAATCCTTTTGTAGTTCAAGAAGTCAGACTCCCTGCGTGATGTGCGCCACTTGAACCAAGCCTGCTTCTTGCTCCGGATAAGCCTCTCTGTCCCACGCTTTAACCATGAGGTTCTCATTGATTGTCTGTGTGTTACTTCTGGTACACTGTGACTGATGGCCCCAGTGATTATTTTCTTCACCTCCAACCAGTGTTCATCTATTGTGAGATGAGTCCAGTCCACTGGCCATGATGCATTCATGAGGTAGTCCCTCATGGTCTCATAGTTGGCCTTGCTGTAGCAAGGGAAGGTGTTGGGCGTCTCCAGTTGCAGAGCCTCCCTAGTTATCATGGAGAAGGTGATTACAGCGTGGTCACTGAGGCCAAGGGGAGGTTGGATGCAAACATCCTCAATGAGAAGTTCATCGTTCGTCAGAACGTAGTCAAGGCGCGATGCGTTTCCGTTAGGTCCCCAGCGTGTAGCATCACCCACTTTCTCTGAGAGGCCAGCAGTCTTAATTGCATCCTTCAGCTTCTGATTGAAGGATCTGATGCGTCTCCCTTCCGTCTCGAAGAGGATGGACGGGGTGTTGAAGTCGCCGGCAATGACTACGGAATCGTAATTTGCAGAGGAAGTCGTTAAGATAGCCTTGATGATCATTTCCTTATGTGTAGGGGAGGAGGTGGGGGACCGATATATGACTCCGAGCAGGTATTTGGTACTGTGGAGAGTGAAGTAGCACCATAGGGACTCTGGGACCTGGGTTAAGGCCGTATCGCTAACCATCCTTGCCTTTAAACAAGAGTTTACGTAGATAGCCACTCCTCCTCCTGCTCTATGTTCCCTGTCCCTGCGGAAGAGTTCCATGCCAGTAACATGCATCTCTTCGTCGGAGATGTCTGGCGAGAGCCAGGATTCGGTGATGAATATGATGTCGGAGTGCTGATGTGCACGCAGCGTCCTCATTTCTGCTACCTTCCCTCTTAGCCCCCTAACGTTGCTGTACATACATATTAGAGTGTGCCTGGTGAGGGGGAGGTCTGGTTGTGTATTTTCGCAGGATGAGAGCTTATGTGGTTGGGTCTACCCTCGCCAGTCCTCATAGGACTGGCATTGTTCCGTTTTTTGGTGTTTTGTTATTAACTTGGGTGGGGGCTGTGGCAGTGGTGGCTTCTTTACTTGATGTATCTAACTCACTGGTCAGCGCCTGTGTGACGACCACTGACTCCAGAGGTCTTGGTGGTTGTCGTCTCTCCTCTTGCCTTGTGGGTCTAGGCTTACTTTCACATATACGTATTGAGCCACCCATGCGATCCTTCGCATTATACCATGCCTGTAGAACGTCTGTGAGGGAGGCATATGAGTCGAACTGGACGGCGAGTAGTCTGGGATTGGGTATGGTCTTCAGGTGCGCTGGCCTTGGCAGTCTACTGACGCTGTTGGCCGGTATACTGTTGAGACCAACTTTGGTTGAGAGCCATTGCCATTGTTGGACGTCGTGAAAGTACCGATCTTTGACCGAGCGGTCACTTGGCAATTCTGGAATCCCATGTACAACTATAGTGTTGTTTCTGTTGGGATTTCCAACCGCTGACTTTCTCTCCTCCTCTCTTATTGACCATGGCTTGTCAGGCCTGGCCCGAATTTTACAGGCATTAACAACGTCCGGTTGTCGCGAGAGGAGGAGTGTGTCTTCAGCCTCTTTGGTAGTATTTAGGGACACACGTAAAGGGGGTGGCTTATCTCGGGGTGCACGGCTTCCTCGAGAAAGGCGACATAAAGTTGCAGGGAGGGGAGGGAGTCCTAGCATCTGACAGTAGTCGGTCCACATTCGGCTGTCAAACCGTTCCCTCTCGACCAACAATGAGTCTGTCGATACATCGACGTTGAACAAAATGATCGAGTTGGTCCTCCTGTGACCTGGGTTCGTTGTGGGTGGCACGCCTGACTTCCCAATGGGTTTGAGTAATTCCACTGGTTGTTTCTCAGTCACGGTGTGTGGGGTGTTTGGAATGGGTTTCGTAGAGGCTTTAGCGGTCGATGTCTTTGGCCATACGCTTGACGTCCCCTGGGGCCGGGTAGGAGGTATGGAGACTTGACCTAATATGGTCCCCACGCGAGGTGGCGTGCCGGCAGCTGGAGCTCTAGGTCTGTTTCCAGGTCTCTCTGTGTTATCTTTTGGTGTTAACCCTACTTTATTCGAGGGTGCTGGTAGCTTTTGCGTGGCGGAGAGCATCTCCTTCAGGCTTTCTGTGCGGAGTGCGGGCATTTTCCTGCACTCTGGACAGATGTACCAGAACCACTTGCATGGTTGTCTCTTCATCAGCTTATAGTATTGTCGGGGGACTTTGGTGTCGCAGTGGCAATGCGCCCATCGTTGACATAGGTTGCATGCAAATGCCTCATCGACTACCGAAACAACTTTGGTGCAAACACTGCAGCCATCGGGTGTCGTAATACAGCCTTCCTTGCATGAATAAGGTGCTACGGATTGTGGCGAACTGCTTGTGGCTGCCTTGTTCTGAAGCCTTTTACGTCGTCTTCTATTTCCAGGCATGGTATGATCCTTGCTCAAGATAGGACTAGTTTGTGACGGGCTAGTGCTACTCTGTGTCACCTGTCTGATGGCTACTGGAATTCTAGAAACATGGGTTGGCCACTTCTTTAGAAGT